AGTTTGCTTAAAATGTTTTCTTAAACGTCTATCTGATATACAGAGTATGTTTTTTTGCCGCATCTATGTTCTCTGCAATTGAATTGCATGTTATCGCAATAATATGAGAGATAAATGACGTACGTTAAAAAATATTCTAAAACTTTTTTTCAAGTTTTTTTATCGGTAAAATTAAAAACATAAACTTTTGCATTTATCTTTAGATTCATCGTTCTCAAATTCACAACTTTGTCACAAGAAATGTTATGTGAAAACTGTGAACACACTTGTAAGTGGAGTCTGTTCTTTATGGCCGTCCGACCTCAAGATAATTTCTCGCAACGCGGCCGAAAGTGAGGGATTTAATTGCTCAAGTTTACTGCTTGATAACTTGTATCTTACATATTTCGAGCATCGAAACGTTGCAGTTGCGACAAGTTCCGAGCGATCGTTTTTTCTTGCAGAGAAGTTACAGTTTTGTAACTTGTTACGATAACTTTACTGATACACTTCATTCGTTTGCTTTTTTTTTTTTTTTTAAATTTATGTATGTAAAAATGTAACGCGTTTTAAGCGACGCAGGATAAACTTAAGAATAGTTTAAAACAATTGTAAAGATAATTTTAATAAAAATATTAGCTACTTGATCTTATCAACAATCTTATCCTTAAAAATAAACTATCAAATTTGTTCTTAGAAGTCTACTGAGGAGTGCAATGAGAAGATTAGACACAATGGCAAAGGACTTAATTACGTTAACCCTAACTTAATCGTCAAGTCCGTCGTGTTTCATAATTATGTGCTTGGTAATGACCTTAAATTATGGGACAACAAATCAAGCTGTTTAAGCATGTAATTTATCAATATTTGCGCTTATCGATCTGCGCGCCTGGGGGCCATTTACATCGCTCTGCATGTGCATGCCAATGCAACTTCCCAAAACGGAAATTGCACTCGCCGAATGACAACGTGGAAACTTTAATTCCATGCTTGGTGCTTTCGTTAAGTCCTCAAATAATTTACATTCACGCGCGCGTAACTTGTTAGTATAATTTATGCGCTTTTTATGCTTGTTATTATCACGGTCACCGTGACAAATATTCCACCCATAATGTTGATCGTTTCTCGAGAAACAAAAAGTACACGATATAAGAGTAAATGTGAGAGTAGCGGAAATTACACTCATTTCACAACAAAATTTTTATTCTTTGTGTGTTAATCTTTTATTATTTGATCAAATTTTATTTGTGTTAGAGTAAATTATGTGTTTGAAAAAAAGTTATTTCCGATATTCATTTGTATGTGTTTATTTATGTATTTTATTACAAGAGTGTGTGTTGTAATTGAAATAGCGTTAACGCTATGCTTCTTCTTTTTTGTGAGCACATAGTTTGACGCAATGCAAAATTATAATATTACTACTGAGAAATAATTTCCTGTTTATTCAAAAACATTTGCAATTGTTATCGAAATTATTTTGCTTGCAATAATAATTAGAGATTTATCACTATTAAAGATCGCGTTATGTGAGGAAAGTGTATCTGATGAGCCAGAGAATGTACCCTCATCAAATTATCTGCGTATGCAACTTGATATCAAAATAATATTATTTAAATTGACAAATCTAGTGAATCGTTCTTCATCATCATTCAATATTTTATCATCATTGATGTAGTTTGAAGTGAACCTCTCTTTTACACTCTCGTGCGGATTCGAGTGTGCAACAAGAGACCTACAATTTTCGGTGGCTTTGAATCACAGAAGTGTACACTTCTATTTTAGAGGAATCTCATGGCAGAGATGCACTTCAATGAGTTGCCAGTTCACCAGAGGTGAGAGCAAACCGAAAAAAATCCGAATATGTTTTGATCGGATTCAAAACTGGGATCTCTTGATTATATTGATGTTACCCTATATATAACGGCACCCGACACCCCACGCGGTATTAAGGCGGTACTGGATACCTATAGAGATCTGTAAACCGACGTTTTTATAACCTAAATTTCCTTATTTTTTAATTTTATTTACTGCACAACATTAAAAGCGCTTCTACCCTTACGAAAAAGAACTACTGGCAGTAATATATTGCGGCAGTGGTACGAAATAATTATTGGCATTCTGTGTAATTGCCAGTAATATTCTCAGTGATTCCTGTAATACCTAATAATAATCTTATGTGATTGTCAGTAATATTTATATTACTAACTCTATTTATATGTAATCGGCAGTAGTTCTTTTTTGTAAGGGAACAGAAGCAAATAAATATACAAAACTATATAAAGCTTTTGAAAATGGGTATATAATGCTTTTTTGAACTTGTTTTTCATTCATAATGATAGTATATGGTATCAGATATACATCATCACACTATGACGTTGTTCTCATCAATTAGATAGTCAAACCATAATCTGAATGTTTCATTAGACTTTTTTTTGTCGTACTTAGTGCGCTAACACAGTGTAAATATGTACATAAGCTTACAAAAAATTCTACATACATAAATATATGGTGAGGTTATTGAAAGAAACTGTATAAGAAAAACTTTTTGTTGAAGTTTGACATTCCAAAGAGCTAGCGCACTGTCTTAGCACAATTTACTTATTTCTAGAGAAGCGTTTTCGATTTGATGCAGTAAATACGACTCAGAACGTGAAAAGAGAAACGTCGGTTTACAGGTCTCTATAGTCAGTATCCAGTACCCTCTTAAGAGAGAGAGAGTCGATACTGGATACCGACTATAGAGACCTGTAAACCGACGGTTCTAACAGAGAGAAGACTGAGAGCGGCCATTGCTATTTTTTACGACGGTTTCCAGCCGCTACTTTCAGCGTCGGGTTCCACTTTGCGTGGAACTCGCGAACTACGAAACGAGTTCTACTTTCAGGCGCATACGATACAAATGTATCTCGGTTAGAGTCTGTTCTAAATTCACTTTCATTCGGTTTGAATCCGTGCTACATCCACTTTACTGTCGATAAGTAGAACTGCCAAGCATCGAGAGCATCGGTGATGGAGGCACGCACACAAACAAAATCGTGTTCGTGTGCGTGACGTCCAACGACATGAATGAAAGTGGATCTAGCACGGACTCTAACCGAGATACATTTGTATCGTATGCGCCTGAAAATGGAACTCGTTTTGTAGTTCGCGAATTCCACGCGAAGTGGAACCCGGCGCTGAAAGTAGCGGCTGGAAACCGTGGTAAAAAACAACAATGGCATGGCCGCTCTCACAGCCAATTTTTTCACTTCTAGATAAGTTTTCGATAACTTTATCTAGAAGATATCTCCCAAAATTGGTTTTCCTTATTGGTTCTTAGAAGAATTTATCCAGAGGATAGCTATCGAGAGGTATGAAGAAATCGGCCGTCAGTCTTCTCTCTGGCTCTAATATTTCGTTTTGAGCCATATTTACTGCATCAAATCCAAAATGCTTCTACAGCAATAAGTAAATTGTGCTAAGAATTTGCTGTTGTTCATTGAAATGTCAAATTTCAGCAGAAATTTTTTCTTATACATTTTCCTTCTATAACCTCACCATATGATCATGTATATAAAATTTTTTCTAAGCTTATGTACGTATTTACATTGAACTACAGCAATAAGTACGACACAAAACAATCTAATGAAACACTCGTATATTGCGCATATTGAAATGGAGGCGCATACACTGTTGGTGGTAGAAGCGCATATACAGGTGGTGGCGGAGGCGCATATACTGATGGTGGTGGAGACGCGGGCACAACAATTACGTTTTCTTTTTCTTCATTTTTCTTTTTCATTTCATAATAAAGTTTTTCGTACATATAAATTTTATGTATACATATAAATACAATTTTTAATTAATAAAGCAAAGTCAGAGAACGAGCCAGAGAATTCGGACATTTCTTATGCCGCTTACGACATTATTGAGAGTTGAACATCGTATCGCCAACTCGCCCAAGCGAGAGCGAGACAGAAAGTCATTTCTCTGTCTTTTTCTACTACCCGATCGCGCCCGAAGTCTCGAGCGCACACGTACACGATCTGAGGTTGTGTGCGCATTCCCTCCATGCTACCGCTGCTACCGCATGCTACCAAGTGTTCAGAAGCTGGCATCTCTGCTCAGTACTGACTTCGGATCTCGCTCCAGTACTCTCTTAAGAACATTCACCGCATCCGCGGTAACATGGTTTCCAGTTCCAGCAAGGTATATCGTCGAGTACTACGAGCGGACACGAGTACGCGCGATTTACCGCGTTTGATTTTCGCGGCGCGCGAAGAAAAACGCGAGAAATCGATTCCAGTCAGTAATCAATTTTGCGATAAGCACGAGTGGTCGATTTAAATGTTATGATGGATTTTTTGCAAATTCGATATTGGTGCTTGTGGGAAACTCGCCGGAGCGAACAGTGATCTTACACTATCTTCCGGTATTCCGTGCATGTGCCAGATGCACTGGCGTAGACGTGTTTTTGCGACGGCATCAGCAGCGATAAAGAGACATACGTCGCTGGTAATTAAACTAGATGTATAATATCTAACTAGAGCGTTCGCCGCAATCGCTGACTCTTCTTTCACTCTTTCTCCGGAGGTAGAAAGTTGCAGAGGACATTATTGTATTGTTCCGTAGAATGCGCATAACTCTTGCGCTTGTGTATGTTTGCATGTATGAAACGAGTTAAGAAATAACACGAAGAAAGATATCACCACGTGAACATCCTGATGAAGCGAAACCACTTCAACAATAGTCGAAAGCGAACAATGCAATAACGCTTATCTACTATTTATTTCCTCGAGTCTATTCAAATTTTCAACGCACGTCGACATTTTTGCACTTATTGACTTTCCACGTTTTATCGGAGAATTTACCTGTTATTATCCACGCATTGTTTTGCAACGGTTTTATCTGGAGACACTGTTGCTCCAATTGTGTTTTACGAAACACTCAGCGACAGTTTGAAATAAATATACTATAATATCTAAGAAAAATTATTAAATTATTTTTTTCTCTAGTAAAATTAAAATAATTTATTTTTTATAATATCTTTACTATTATAAAGTAATATTCTCTAAGGGAATAATTCTCGTCATATATAAAATACATATTCCTTATTCTTTAAAAACCTTATATACATATAATTGCGCGTTAAATCACGCGTATGTTATTGCGTTATTACTGTACAATATTTTCTCCGTAATGCGGAGAGACGAAATATTCTCGCGGCACAAAATAAGACATAAAAAATTGACACGAGAAATTTGCATTTCAATTGGAAGTCACCGAGATCTTGGAGTGAATTGACGAGGAACGGGGTACATTTTTCAGGCTCTCGACATCATCTTCCAATCCATAGGGTCCGTAAGGCTCGGTCTGTACTCCCACGTCCTCGTGATCGAGTTCGAGTGTATCTTGTTCGTAGATTACGTCATGACTCCGTGGTCTCGCCACGGATGGGATCCACGGTTGCGGCACGCCTTTACCCAGAGCCAGAAAGACTGCAGCGGTTGTCAGCAAGACGACGGACGCGACTCCGAACACCAATCGCCAAGAGCCAGCGATCTAAAACCACCACATTCACTTTCGCGATAAAAATTGTTTGTGTTCAAAATGAAAGAAGATTACACAACTAATGTTTAGTGTGACGCAATACTTATGTCACATTTGCGCGAACGAACGGTATGTCTACACCCGGCGTGCTAATGATCTGACTTACGGAGCCGTGAAGAGCCTGGGTGACGAAGTAGTTGGCGCTTAGCAATCCGGCGGCACCCAGTGTGGAACAAAGAGCACACGCAGCCGCGGCGCATGCCGGCGATTCCGCAGGTGCGAGATCCGCTATAGCCGCTAGTGCACCGGCTGGTGCAGTACCGGAAACGAGAAGGGCCGCTATTCCCAGCCAGGCAGCACCCAGAGCTTGACAGCCGGCGTATCCGGCGACGAAGAGCAGAGCCGCGGGGATAAAGTGTGCTAATTGTGTATATTTCACAAGTTCAGTATTACCGAAAATATCAAAATCGAAAAAAAAACTAAAATATATTTTGAAAAAATTATTTTTTGATATAAAATAAAGAAATTTGTTCAACCCGATACGTTCAAGACACTTTTTATGTTCAATTATAATAATTAAATACATAAAATGACTTGATTAAGAAATTAAATGACAGGAGTTCTTACGTAACGTACCTGTGTAGACGACCAACTTTCTTGCTGTGGTCGTGGAAACTATTTTAGATTCGCGAACGTGGTCAACCAAAAGACCGCAGGTCAGCGCAGCCATGAAGTGACCGATGTGAGGTAACGTGGTCAACACCGAGTCCTGAATTAAATCCGGACTGATGATTTTTATTTCTAACGCATGACACGAATGTAAATTAAGTTTAACCAACTAAAGCTTACGTTAGCTGTAGAGAATCCATAGATGAGCTTCAGGTACTTGGTCATGCCAAGAGCGAGCGTCGCATCGCCCCATTGATTTCCCATAGTCGCCACTGCGGACGCCCAGACAGGGACAGATCTCAAAAGCTTACCCCATGGTATCACAGCTGCCTTTGATTATTAGAAATACTTTATATTTAATATAAAAAAATTCTTGTAAATATATAAATTACTTATAAATAATAGTATCACAATAGTCATATAGAATTTGGTTGTATATAACAAGATCGTTGCAAGTACAATTAAAACGTTGTCGGAATAACAATAGGTTTCGACTATTTATAGTTTTTGTCGGATAGTCAATTAGCACTGGAGACGATATCGATAGGCTCCCGACAGCGCGACAGTCCTCATTAAATGGCTTGGAAGCATTGCTTACGGTTGTGTCGTGTTGATAGGACTTCGGAGTGTCCTTGACAAATCGACCGAAGGCAAAGTACCAGCATAGTGCCAGAAGAACCAGACCATAGCACAAAGAATCTCGACCGAACGCTCGCACCACCGCGGTGCCCAACCATCCGGTAAGGCAGTAACCTACGCTGACAGCTTAAATTGGAAATTAGAACTAGCTGATTAACTTGAAGTGTGAAATGTGTGTCTTCTCAATGAAATGCCTCGAAAAATTATTGTACAAGTCGAACTATAACATCTCAAATAAATTTTTCATTTGAAATAAAGCACATTGTTTTCTCTCTTGTTCATTTTATTCTTTATTATTTACACGCTTTCGTTTACGATCTACCTGCGTAACAACTGAAATACCAGCTTCTGTGGTTGCTCTTAAACCAGGTCATCGCGAGCATGTGAGCAGCAGGCATAGTCGCACCCTACAAAAGAAGATGTCGCAATAATTCTTGTTTCACATGGCATGGTTTGCGGTGCTATGCAAAATCGAGACCTCGTCTAAGACGTAATGACAAATAACGTCTGTGTGATGTTGACTTACAGTGCATAATCCTTGAAGCAATCGAAGCGCGACGTGCGACGGTCCGCGCCAGGCCGCAGGCACTAACAAAGATGCTAAACAGGCGCTAAGAACCGCCCGTGAGAACACCATGGAGGGTCCGGATCGGCCCCACACCAGGCAACCTCCCAATATCGGCCCAGCAACCTGTCCCCATAAGAACGCCTCGCGCATAATCGATTCTGCTCGCTCTTCCTGCGGTAGCTATCGTTCACAACATATATCGATAAATATCGCTGACATTTCACGATGATAAAATATATTTTCTTTGTTATTTCTTAGTGTCAAAATAAAAATTAAATTAAATTCGTAAACTTTGATACTGACACTTATACTTTAAGCTATTTGTATAAGAAACTGATATTCAAATTGTTAAACGAACGATCAAAAAAAAGAGAAATGTGAAAAATAAAGAGATTATACCTCCATAAATATAATCTCAAAGTCTTCGGTGCGATTGCGGCTGGAGATATTGACCAGCATATCACAGTGCCAGGAGGTGTCGATGATGGCATGGTTGTCTTTTTGATTTGCCAGCAATGCGACGGAAGAGCTGACTTCGACCGCACCGCAAAGTGCAAATCCAACTGCGACTAATGCAGCGACAATGTGTCGCGCTCGTACAGCCGCTAATAAAGAACAAATAACTACATAATACTTAACAATTATTACAATGCGATTTGTAAATTGTTACAAATTCTGACAAATTATGCAAACATTTTTATCTAATAGCTGTAAAAAGATTTTACTCTCTCTCTCTCTCTCTCTCTCTCTCTCTCTCTCTCTTAATTAAAAAAAATACATAAAATTAAATTAAGTTTTAATTACTTTTTAATTCGTTTATTTTATAAGTTTGAGACACAATACTGTCGAAAGAAACTTTGTATGCGTGAATATATATATACGTTCATTATCTATGGTCTTCAAACAATAAATCGGTGACAATGTTTGATATAGATAAGTTACTCAAACGACTGGTTTCTGCGTACTAATTCTAAACATGAAAGATTCTTTGTGATTTTAGTTTTCAACATCGATATAAGAATAATTAAAAAATATGTGCTTTCTAAAGATATTATTATGTTTTAATATATACAGTAATCAATAGATTTTTATACTGTGATTGTAATTGACACGTAAATTGTTGCAAATTTGTGGTATCAATACAATTGTTTGAAATTTTACTGCATGCGAGTGACTATACTATAAAAGAAAAATGTCGATATTTTACTCTCTGAGAATTAAAACAGTTATAATTCAAAATATTTTGACAAACCTCGAACTTCTTGTGCAGCGAGTTTTAGTTGACAACTGCCACGCTTAACAAACTGCACGCTACCTCTCTTGACGAAGTCTGCCATCTCACAGAACCCAAAAATAATGAGATCGACTGCGATCTCGCTCTTATCATTTCCGATGTTTGATTCTCTTCGCGCGCTATCTCTTTGCTAGCTACTACGAGTATATTACACATAGTATGTACACGTGACCTCGACTTTGGCACACTGATGATATAACACAAGTAGCTTTTCGACGAATGCTTGACACTACTATTATTATTCGTTAAATAATAAGGTTTAAAAAGTTGAAAATTTCAACATTAATCACAATTTTAATTTTTAAAATCAATTTATTTTAGATTACAAATGGATGTACGTATCCAACCGCTAATTTTTTATGTGAATTTGTGCGCGTAAGAGTAGTAACGTAAGATCTTTGAAAAACGTTATTATACAGGAAATGAAATGAGGGCATACACACCTTTGACCTCGAGTGCCGCATGTCTCAGCTGGACACTACTGCGCTTGAGACGAACCAGCGCAGCCATTATCGTCAAACAAACCGACACATTGATACTTCCATGATATAAAATTGATATTTTAGACACATATCACCGGAAAGTGCCCTGCTCTTTCCGGTTGTTCTCGACAACGCGCAACGCAAGCGGGATGCGACGACTCATACTGGTCATCTGGCCGGTGCGAGTGAATGAACATCTCCGTTAACGAGTCTTGATACAATAAGTACCTATGTCGAGTCAGCCTTGAAGCACCGCGTGCGCTTAGACCCGCCTCGTAATATTTTCCCCACGAGCGAATCTCATCACCGATGAATATCTCTACACGTGTTTGTTATTTTTTTCTGACTTTATCACGGCATCACAATGCGTATAATCTAGTCATAAATATTGCTAAATATAATTGATTTAATATTACTGTGTGCACACGTGTGTTTCTGCGGCGAGAAATACTAATGACATATTCTCTGAGTATGTTATTAATGTTGGAAGAATGAAACAAAGTAGTCACACAACTAATTCTTATTTGTAACCATAATATTCTGCAATTTTTATTGATATCATTAAAACTATATTTTACATAAACAATATTTATTAAAAGTCATTGATGTAAATATATATTATTTTAAATTAAAAGATGTTATACAGCAAAAAAGTTATGTAAATATAGACTAGTAATCTAAATCACTATGTGTATATTAACCAGATATAATAGTATTACAAAAAACTACACACATATTTTATATATGTATTAATACACACATACACAATTATAATAGTTACTTTATTCAACTATCGGCAATTGATAATAAGGAAAATTTATCAACCCATCTTTGCGAAGATGGAGTAATGTTCTGCACAGATTCTATTTGTTCGATGATAAATTTTAGAATACTCTAAACTCATCAACCGTTAGTTGAGATTCTACGTTATCAACGACCAATCCTTGGTAGTATGCTACCATTCAGACAAACCGGGGCCTGATCTTCATCTTGCAACAGGCCCCAACAGGTTGCGCAGCAGGTAGTTGGGTCCGTATCAATCCCCTCCGCTGTTCTCCAGCAGCGGGGACCAGCGGGATGCCACCTGCGCGGCGATTGGTTAGTTTGCTGGCAGGTCAAACGGCAACACATCGGTCGGCGTTTGTCACACTTATCTGCCGCTTCGGAGCGGAGCGCGCGGTTCCTACGCATTTTTGCGTTTTACCTGTAACGATCGGTACACGTGTGAGCGAACGTAAACCGCAAACGAGTAACGCGCTGTGCAATCCAGGAACAGAGAACGGGAGAACCCTCTGGGACGACGTAAGACAGTGGCGAACCCAGAGGGGTCCATAGAATCTGAGTTACGAGTTCGAGTTCGCGCTCGCGCCGAGAATCGCTTTTCAAACGAGCGCAGGACAATGAGGCGCTCTAGAACGCCCGGGTATTTTGACATGTGCAACTTATAGTGTATTTTATTATTGTGTTTTTACATAATAAGTTGTACTAAGGAATATTTGCAAGCAGACGGCAAGACGGTGAATGAAAAGGGACGCGTCGCTGGAACGCAGCGCGACACGAGAGAGCTACGAGGTGAGTGGACTCCGATTTGGTTGCGTTTTGACCGTTGTGTTTTAAGGTTAAGTTGGATACCCTGCTAGGGTCCCGTGATGCACTCCCTCCACCATTTGTCCACTTCCAGTCTTCTCGCGGGTCCCTCACGAGCGATCCCCATCGCGGACAATACGGTCTTCCGAGAGACCAACCAAAGGTATTCCAGTTCAATCCGACCAAAAGAGGCCGAAAGGTCCTTTGAACAGTGAGAGATGCGTGCGGCTGCATCTTCTTCATTTCTTCTCATCCATTTCATTCTAATCGTTGCTTCGTGACTCTGACTTTCTTTGCTCTATTTTCTAGCTGATTGAAATGCAGGTTCATAAAGACTTGTGTCAATCTCTGACAAACGGCTTTTCTATATTTCTGTCTTCTTTGTATTCTCTCACGTACTTTGCAAACTGCTTTCTTCCTCTGTCATTGTAATTAGAATTCTGTCTCATTCATTTTTCTTGTCATTATCGTTGACGCTATCGTTACAATTTCCCTTGTTGCTCTCGCCTGATAATTTCACAGCAAATACTACGAGTTTCTGTTTTGCTTTATCTTATATCTGCTTTTAATTATCGCAAGCGATTATATGATTATTACGGACAACATATTCTAATGCTATGTGTCAATTTATTTAACTGATCTTTTGTGTAGCAAGATTTATGCGTCTATAATAAAAGCCGTAGATTTTTTTTCTCTTTCTGATCTTACAGATTCTTTCCTCTTCATCCTCCCGTTCCCCTCTTTTGGAATGCGCTTCACGAGGGTTCCTGCATATGTCTGATCACTAGCAACAAGCTCCCGACTAGAATTTCGAGTTCCTATTTCTGTTCACTAGAAGTAGGAACGTTTCACAAATGCAGTCGGTTGTCAACTTTTAAAATCGACTGTTTTGACTATGAAAATTACAAAACAAGTTTGTCTACAAGTGTAAATGCATCAAGCTAACTAATAAAATTCTGGAAGATTTATATGATTTTTTTGTTGATTCTTGTGTTTATTTACACGGAAACACTACAAGCACTGTTATCTCTCGTTCACGTGATTGTACGACAATCCTTGAAATTTGTCATTCATTTTGAAATGTATTTAATTATATCAAGTTATATTTTGAGAGAAAGAGATTGAAAGAGAAAAAGAGAAAAAATATTTTAAGAAGACTAACAAAATAATATTATAATAATAATCAAATAATATTAACACTAACAGTTAGGTCAAGTTTCCTAAGTTTGTGTAATTTCCTGCAGCGATCTATAAATTTGCGTTAAAAAATGTCTTTACAGAGATTCGGCAGCGTAACCAGGACAGTTTCGGCATTCAGTAATCTTACGTGCGCGTAACGCGTCGTTGTCGTACGTGCTTTGAAAATCGTGCACAAATACCGTTGCATTAAGGTCGTTCACTTATCTACCTACCGACTGCGATTCAGCAAGAGGAACTACCGGTGTTTTGTCCTCGGTGAATCTTGCGCAGGAAAATAAATATGTTTTCAAACGCGTGTCTCTTGAACGCATGTCACATTACAGCGCGTTATATTGCTTCGCTCGCCGGAACGACGATGTTTCGGTCAAAGCTCACGTGCAACATTATACGTTCCAATACAGTGCCGAGGCGAAAGTTTCGTACTGTCTGCTTAGGAGACTGGCACAATCTCACGACAATCTTTACGTGACATCTGGATTTCATTGTTGACCACCAAATGTTACGGAAAGATTACTGTTGTTATTAATTATTCAATTTAGAAATAAACATTTTATGTGAAAATCATGCCATTATGTTATACACACACACATAGAGGGAGAGAGATAGAGAGAATATTAATTTAGATATGTATACATAAGTGTTACTTTATACTTATATTTATATGTAAAAATATACATATTACAGAATTTTATATGACAATATATATATTTAAGAAAATACAATAATCTGAATAACCAAAACAATAATTGATATGTATGCAAAGATAAAATACCATTAAAAATCTACATATCAAGCTTTGTATTATCTTCTTAATAATGATGCGGAAATATGACAAACAATTCGTCATTTTATTCTCCGATTATGTGTTATGCAGCAAATTATGCAATTCTAATGAGCAGATTTAGAACATTGCGGATGTCGCTTGTTGACGTTTGCTTACGTGTTTACCGATTACGAAAACGAAGAAGCTGCGGCATTGCACGTTCGCTGATCGCCTGTCTTATAAATCAATTCCGCACAGTTTTAATTGTCGACATCAAACAGAGTGAAACTCGCTAAATGTTCTTTATACAAGTGTGCAAATCATGTCATACTCCAAATTGCACGTAAATTTTCTTGAGACACCCAATTGAACCGTTTGACAGCTGTAACCAATTCGTCCGACAAACTTCATTAGAAAATCCATTATGAAGCAGAACGTGTGGCATATATGAAGAGAGAGAAAAACAAGGACACAAAACACAAGTTCAAAAGTGAAACTAGATTTTCTCTGCCGATTCGAATCACATGAAATTTTACGGTCCATTTGCGTGTATTTTCTAATTACTCTGAAAGTTTGCTTCTCTTCATCGATGCAACGCTTGAAAACGTAGAAAAAAAAAGGATTACTTTCTTTTCGCCGAAACTGTCACGCTGAGAAAGTAAGATCGCCAAAGTTGAGCTCTTCACGTGAACAAAAGTTCATTATGCGCTATTGTTGAAGAAGATCGCGCGTGTCTTTTGTAACAAAATTAAAATTATTTTCAGTATTATTTGCATTATGTTCTTAGGAAATATATTCACTATCTCCCTACATTTCGATAAAGTAAAATATTCTTCGTCACAACAGTGACGAAGCTTGACATACACACATACAATGACTTTCTAATTTTAAAACTTTGACAACCATAATTTTAATTGTAATTTACACTTTGTCTATAAAAATTCAGGAGGGATTGTTCAAATAAAGTATTCCACTGAAGATGGTTTGAATAGAATAAACCGAAACGTTTGGAGTAATCACATTGATTTAAAATTATTTGCACAACATCCTGCACATAGGTTCAAACTTGCCCGAGCTAAACAAGAAAGTTTTTAATTTCGTTAAGAACCCGAATAAAACAACATCACAGATTGTAAAATATTCTTTCTATTTTTTATAAAATAAGATGTATAAATTTTTATACAATCTCTGCGTAGAAACGTAGTAAAACATTTAGCCCACTGAAAATATTTCTGAGTATTGTAGATAATTGATGTGAAAGTAACACGAAAAGAGACCATGTCACATACACGTAAATTTCACACATTAGTATGTTTGAACAGTAAGTAGCAGATTTCCGAGGTTACGAGGATGATAGAAGTGATCGTCGATATATGCCCGAAGCGATTTGAACGTATGTTTATACATACACATCATGTCTAAATGACGTTATTAATAAAACCTGTCTCAGCAGTGTCCCCCGGAAGTAGATCGAGATATCCACACGCTATCGTCCGCATTATTATTCTCGCGACGATGCGCGAGAGGAGGCAGATAAAAAAGCGCAGCACCAAATTGGAGCGCGACGCGCGGGAAGTTGTTTACGAGAAATCGACGGCCACCGTAACGAGGCCATTGCCGCTATATTTTCTCAATTACGTAGGAAATTGCTTTCGTGCGTTTGCAAGACCGCTCTTCTCAACGTTACATCTCTCTTACGCGCTCGCGAAGAAATATCGCGACATTACTTCGATTATGTTTGCGCGCGTCGCACGTTGCATTTCGCGTGCCATAATAAATTTAGAAAAATTTTAACGCAATACATACCTAATCAATCACGCCCGCGCGCGCGAGTAATCGCGAACGTAAAATGCGCAATTGCTCTTCTTCGTTCTCGTCTTATTTTCTCATTCGCGACACACAGATAAGAAATGCATCAAGAGCGCAAGACATCACGCCACATATTGCAACCTGTTCCGATCCGCGGTACTTCGATGAACAACCTGTATATTATATGGCTCGGATTAGAATCCATAGCGATTTTTCGCGTAAATGAAACTAGCGCTAACACTGTTAAATACTAGTAACTTCATTGCACAATCAAAAATCTACATAAATTAAAGCGAAGGTTTCATCTAGCATTCTGTTGTTGTCATTTGCAACAGAGTTGTTGATATTCTTTGCATATACATTCACGAACGTCATCGCTTTTAAATGCGATTGATACTTCGCGCGCATTCAACGAATGTAAATTGTGTCGATTTACACATGATTTGCACGGACCGTTAGATAGTGTATCTGAAAAAACTACATTACGGAGCAAAAACTGTTGTTTAAAATAAATATATTGTGAAAAAACTGTATGAATTTTCTCGTTTATTTGTCGCAAATATGTGTAATTTTCTCAATTTCCCAGATAATGAGCACCTATGTGTAATTATACTTTTCTCGCTTATTACAATTATTTAATAATTAAAATTACAATTTTATTCCCGCACAAAACAGAACAGTTACTCGCTTTCTTATAAGTTACTCGCAGAATTTGCTTAATGAGAAACAGAATACGGAAACGTTTCTTGTTAAGAAACGCTTAAAATATCTCGATCTTTTTCTTTCCTTGAGATTATGCATGCGAAACATCTCCCACAAGTATCATTTCTCAATACGTTTATCGTTCTTACATAATGTAACAACATCGTTCACGTTCACATACCACTACGACGTTCACATACCAATTTTTTTTAATTTTATCCTTCAACGTATTATGCGAAAAGATGAGATACGTGCAGCGCCGAATGGATTGAACGTGTATTTCTGATTTTTTCAATGAATCAATACAGCATCGTAAATCGCGATTTCTCTGACTTCTCACGGCCACTTGAGTAGTTTCTCTTCGTAGGAGAGAATCTCTTCTCGCAAGGTCGAAGGACAGTGTTACTAGCTATTTAGTGACCCCTTTTGATCCGTAGAATTTCTTGTATCTGTCCTGAATTCGAACCTTAGGCAGCGAAATCTTACTCTTTTGAATAATGGCCAATAATTT